AATTCAGCATAAGTAGCCACAATCAAAACACATAAACATAAAATCGATTTCATGATTCCGTTTTTTCTGTCTAATTTCTCAACCTTCAAAAAACCGTTCCTATGCTTTTTTTATAATCGAAAATATACTTATTTTATTAGACGAAAAGAAATCTCTATCAGGTGTTAGTTTCCCACATTACAAATACTGATAACATTCACATGAAACAATAGCGTGGTATGAGAAAAATACTTGCATTCAATTTCATATTCGACAGAGATGGGCGAATACTCGTAAATATTCGTACTCAAATACACATTTTCAGATACTCGTACTCGTGACTTTTTTTAATGCGTACCCGAAAAAGCACTCGAATACTCAGATGAAAACCTGTTTAACTGAAACAAAAGGGAATTCAGAAGAGACCGATTGATATACTATCATCACACGAAAAGTTTTCCGATAAAAATTCTGTTTTTTTTAAAAAAATTTGTACTCGAGTACATATTTGAGTAAAACTGTGTTGTACTCGTACTCATACGCTTACCCACCACTGAATACTCGTACTCGTACTTATACTCGAAAAAGTATGTACTCACCCACCTCTGGCATTCAATGAAGATACCTTTGAAGACTTAATATATAAGGTTTAAAATGGTCCTCAACCAAACATACTTATCGATTGGTAAAACGCATATAAACATCAATACATTTATTTACTTTTGGAATACTGAGGGATATAGCTCGATCTTCGGAACAGAAGTGTGAAAAAATGTTGCCCTATTTCGAAAAATTTCGAAAAAATATCTCGAATAAGGGTAAAATAAAATTTTGCAATAAAACGGATATTCCAGCGAAGGACATTATTTTCATCTATACAATGTTTAATTTAGAATTTTAGTTCAATTTTGCAAGGACTCATCGTAAACGGTTTCGGAGCTCGATTTGCATCGGTGTAAGATAACGAGGTATTGTTAGTTAAAGTTGAGAGGCTCTTAAAATAATGCTCAAGAAGTCTATCTGGTTCTTTTGTTCTTTTTGAAGTTTTTCTTAAGAGAAATAAAACTTTATAATGACCATTGACGTCGCTGTTTGCTGTAATGTACAGTGGCGCCGATCGCTACTTTTCTTTTTATTAGTCGTACTATAACGAATCTATGAATGTTCTTTGTATATATGATTCTTTGTTTGTTTTTCTGTGACATGTGACGTTTGATTATAATAGTTTGTTTTGATTGCGTCATTGTCTAGTCTTGTAATTTATTTATCCCATATTATCACGTGTAAAGATATCGTTATTTGATTTCAACGAGTTAGAGCCTATGTTTAGCAAATGTCGTCACTAAATGAATCCATAATACAGTTAATCCTATTTACTATACATATAAGAGATATCGAACTTTATACAAAGCAACGATCGAAATTAAAGTCCTGAAATAGTAAAGCTGTGGTAAGGTTACATAATTAAAAATAGCAATTAGCGTATGAAAAACAAAGCTAGTCTACGTTTTTGAGTGTCGAGTTATAGGAAAAAAATGATTTGACAATTAAGTGGGTGTGTCTTTAATGATCGTATGGTTAGGGTATGAATTTGGGTCATTAATATAAATTATGAACGGCTAACATTTGAAAGTTACAGATTTTATTTTAGTTTCTTCTGTAAATTAGTGATGAATTATTGGCTGCTAATAATTTCTAATGTGCTAGAGAATCGTTATAGAATGATTCATCCCGAAGGTTGTCGCTTGTTGTAAAGGATCTTCTAAATTGAAATATTATACAGATGCCATTTCTCAAGGTTTTGTTATTCTGTTTGTTTTACAAGCTGACCATAGCAGATTGTTCTGTTTTTTTTTATTTTGAAGTATAGCTTTACGTAGATGTAATATTTTTTTGTTCTTTATTCTTAAGTATACTATCTCTTGTTTTAGCGTATATAGTGAAAGAAAATGTATATAGAAAAAAACAAAATGTTTATTATATTAAAACAATAATATCATTATTATTTTTTTGTTCTTAAACGGTGATGACAATATTACGTTCATTTATTGTATTTTCTACTACAATATTATTTATATTTGGTAACTACGATTCACGTTATACATGCTTTAATGGTCCCTCATATTGGTGTTTAAATGATACAACTGAAACCGTATGTAACTTTAGTAATTTAACAATTGGACAATGTGGTTATACAAGTGGAAAATGTACATTTAAAACAGGTATGTTATTGAGCATCCGTAGAACTATCGCTTGTTGTTAAATTTATATTTATTTAAAATATGTTTTTGTTATATTTAGGTAACACATTTTGCAAAGATGATCCATCCGCACTAGAATTTAATGGTGGTTTAACGGGTGTGTATGACAGTTTATTTACATACTATGTTTTGGCTTTATATTGGCCACCATCAAATTGTCCTAAAATTTATAATGAAACAAAAGATTTTCTACGTTATTTTTGTTCACCTTATACAAATGCTGGTCAACCAGGATCACAACGCTTGGTACTACATGGTCTTTGGCCTAATTTTGGTACAGAAGGTATAGTTGAAAATACTATTATACTAATCAATAAATGTAAGTTTTATTTTATTTTAAGGTAATTATCAAGGTTGGCCGCAATTTTGTTCTAACGTTGAAAAAGATTGGTCTGTATGTCATGTGAATGGTAATCTATGTCCCTGGCAAAATACAACATTTTCTAATTTTACGCAAGATTACTATGAATATTGTTTATCATATGAGAATATTTCACAGTGTCTCGTGAATCCAGAAGTTGTTGAACATGAACAAGAACGATTGAAGTATTTAGCGCCTGGACATCTTGGAAAAAGAAATTTATTTATGAATCATGAATGGACAAAACATGGTAAGTAAATCCCCCTTAGGATAGCATTTGAATAAAGTTCTTTTTTCTCGAAAATATTTTTGTATACACTTTATTCTTTTATAAGAATGTCCTACAGAGGGATTAACCTTCCATTCTAAATTTTTCATGATAATGATAAACTCTTTGCAAGTTATATGACGTTTTGTAGTGTAAAAATTCAATTAAGTTAATGATGTATCTGTTTTCTAGGTTCGTGTTGCTCAAATGCTTTCAAAAATAATATTTCAAGCTATTTAGATATCATGTTAAACATAACTGATGAATATACTCGAAAAGGCAGTCTTACCTATGAATATATTCAACGCTATAGTGGTGAAAAAATCGGCATTAATTATCTTTATGAACGTTTTAACAATACCGTTATAGTCAATTGTAAACCAAACTGTAACTTAGATGAATTGTGGCTATGTTTTTATCGCGATCATACAACTGGTTTACCAACACATCCCGTTCAATGTCCCCCCGGTGCACGTAATCAAAGCGATACTTGTAAAAAAGCTCGATGTGAATATGTTTATATACCATTAATGGGTGAACCATTAACATCACAGAGCAGTTCAAAATTGATCGACAAAACATCTAAGATTCTATTTGTTACACTAGCAATTCTACTCCACTATATTAAGTAAAAAAAATCGACTAGTCAATCACTTTCTATTTTTGTATTTCTTTTTCATTTTGGAAAATATTTTTGATATGAGCGCGTTGAGTGTGTGTTTTTCTGCAGATTTTTCTAACGTAGTTGTTTTTCTGTAACTGATAAGATGTTTATTTTTGTTTTTGCTTTTCAAGTATTATGCATATTGACGAAAATGCATATTTGGAGCGTGAAGCTCATTGGAGACATGTGCTCTAAGTTTGTACATCTAACTTTGCTTTTGATTGTTTTGTGCAATGAACTTTTCAACCAATAAAGATCTAAATCGTTCTACTTAACATAGGATTAAAGCTAAATGCATTCGTTAAACAATTACGTTGCTATAAACTCCTTCCATTTTCTACCGTTAATACGTTTAATAATGCAAGACAAATTTGCGACTTAACTACATAATGCTAAACTATTTTGCTCCTTTTCAAGGAATTATCGGAATTAAGCGCTGTTTGGAGACTACTGACATTATATCGAATACATTAAACATTTCTTCAGCAGAATAGGATGTGTCTTGTCTCTGGACAATGAAGCGTTACAAAAATACATACAGTTTAAAAATAGGCTCAAAAAATAATGCAAATAAATTAGAAAAAAGATTTTTATCCATTTTCATCACATCGTAACGTTGTTTGTCCCTTGTGCGAGAGCGATATCGTTTGATTCATGAACTATTAAATTTTATAAAACACTGCATCTTGTACAATAAACATCGCCCTACAAATTGATATGCATTTAAAACTTCCGATTTATTTTCATTGTTTTCTGATCGATTTTTCAGCTTATTTTTAAACTGGATGTATTTTTGTAACAGCTCATTGTCCAGAGACGAGACATATCCTATTCTGCTGAAGAAATGTCTAATGTATTCGAGATACTGTCAGCAGCTTCTAAGTCTGCCATTTTGACCTTGAAATTTTAATTTTACTGATAGAGGGTGCAAAATTCAATAAAATGGATTTTTTCCATTCAAAGTTTAATCAAAACAATTTCGTTCATACTGCATTTGACAGGGCATGTCAAACTGAACAAAACTGCAGATTCAAAATTTTTGAAAAAGAAAGTCAGTATGTGTTTTTTTCAAATTTTAATTTTCAAAAATAGTATCGATTTTTGTATTCCCTAAACGAAAGTCATCCAATTAGCAGATATTGTCTTGATTCCTGTACAGTACTATGCATTCATTGAACTCGCCCGAAGAGCTTGACAAGTTTCCTTTATGAACAGAAATCCGAGTTTTGTTGTTCCTATAGAACAAAAAGTATGTAGGCACAATTTATTTTACTTCAATTGCACACCATTTTGTAGGTCTTTTCAAGGCGCATCGAATGGTATACGACACAAAGTGGATAACAGTTTTGTCTTCATGAAATAGTTAAAATAATAGTTGACGTGTGTCACTATCATCATATATACGGCTTGTCCAAACGTAACGCTGTTAACTTTTTTCCACACTATTTCTTGATTTTCTCAGCAAAACGACGAACGTCCGCTGTTACGAAAAAAGGCCCTTTTTTTCAGATGGTTTTCACATTTTTTCAAAACGAATGATAAAAATTGTTTCGTTCGGAGCCATTTTATAGCTTAATCAACGAGCTATTCGATTGTAAAAAAATTATTCTTAACTCAATTCTGCAAGCCCAGAATAATCATTTTACTTTGATAATACTGTTACAAAGAAAGGACGGGACCGATTATCTGATGAAATCGGCCCATGCCTGAATTTCATCGACTAATCAAGGCTAGATGTAGAATGAAGAGGGGAATATTTGTAGGTACTTACTTGACCGTAGAACCACTCTCAGAAAAAAATTGATCGAATCAAATTTGATTAAGTTTCAGTTTCTACTGCATCTGATGATATATATTATAGATCGTATTTTGGATCTTTTTCTCTCAGTTTTACAATTCCTCACGACTATTATATATCATTCGAAAGCTCTTTTTCTTCGCTATATTTCTATATATCACATATACGAAAATAACCGTTCTGACGCCAAGTATGTTTAGAAATACTTCTGGCTATAGAAAATAATCCCCTACGTGCAAAAAGTTTCAGATATTCTATGTCACCACATTTCTCATTCGGCCAGTACAATAAATATACCATTCAAATAGAGAATTTGTTGAACTACAATTTGAAATATGTAATATAGAGAAAAAGTGTTTTAGGGCACTAGAATTCTGCTCGTAATTCTCAATTTTCTCCATCAAAACTAAGCTTTTATGCAATAAAGATATCATATTCGGAATCAGGATCAAAAACTAACTCCACCAATGTGTATTTCGAAATGTTTACTTGATTTTCACTTTTGGTGAAAATCTCGGTAATTTTTCACCGTGAAAATTCGACAAAAACTAAAGTAGCTAGATAAAATGAAAATACACATTGGTGGAGTTAGTTCAATCATACATAAAATCACCATTTTTTAAAATTTCTTAGTAGCAAAATGTCATCAACCATTTCTCCATTCAGCCATTGTCAACGCTCTTCTAAAACGCTTCCGCTGGAGCTGAATATTCTTCATATATATAACGGATGGGCCAGATAAAACCGGCCACTTTTGTTCTTGTTTATTAATCCCCTTCTATGAAGTTTCAAGTTCTCATTTTACAGTCAATTGATAGAGAATTGAATTCTCTACAAAACCTGTAATTTTAAGCTCTGACAGCACTTTTCCCATTTGAGTACCGATCAGAATATTGAAGGGTGCTGAGTTGTCGAACTGCGACACACTGAAAATAGAAAAATACTTGCCTTGATCCAAAAACAGATTCCATAAGGATTTTGAAACCATCAGAAGATTCACCAGAAAATTCTGCACCTTCTCACCTATTTTTCGACATTTTTGCAGCTCACTTTTCTAGAAAAATTTCTGTGCAAAAAACTGATAAATCTAAAAAAACCTAACTTCTGAACCTATTTCTCATAGACTTTAGTTTTTTGGCTATAAAAGCAGTAAAACGTTCTGAATCCAGAGTTCTAGTCTTACCATCTTACACAGACTTAAATTCTGCATTTTTTGATATAT